CACACACACACAATCACACTCTCACACACGCACACACACACAATCACACTCTCACACACGCACACACACACAATCACACTCTCACACACGCACACACACACAATCACACTCTCACACACGCACACACACACAATCACACTCTCACACACGCACACACACCACATACAAACACACACGACACGCAAACACACACCACACACGCAGACACATGCAAACACACACACAATCACACTCTCACACACACACACAATCACACTCTCACACACGCACACACACACAATCACACTCTCACACACGCACACACACCACATACAAACACACACGACACGCAAACACACACCACACACGCAGACACATGCAAACACACACACACCACACATTCAAACACACGACGCGAGCAAACACACGACACAAACACACACACACGCAAACATATATGATATACGCAAACACACAACACACACGCAAACACATAGCAAACACGCACGCAAACATATATGACATACGCAAACACACACCACACACGCAAACACACACAACACATACACGCAAACACACATGACATGCACACACCACACACACACACACACCTTATTGGGACCTTATATAAAGCCCTCCCTACACCTCCCCTAACCCTACCTGATACTTTATTTTCAACTTTTTTATTATTTCCTTCATTTTTATTGAAAATAAACGCCTTTCTAATGTGATATGAGATTTGAAAAGGGAGAAAAAAAGTTCAGCAAAAGGCGGGTTCGAACTCTGGTTGATCGGGCTTTACCATCTACGCCAGGGGTGTCCAAACTCGGTCCTGGAGGGCCGGTGTCCTGAAGAGTTTAGCTCCAACCCCAATCAAACACACCTGAAGCAGCTACTCAAGCTCTTACTAGGCATACTAGAAACGTAAAGGCAGGTGTGTTGAGGCAAGTTGGAGCTAAACTCTGCAGGACACCGGCCCTCCAGGACCCAGTTTGGGCACCCCTGCTCTACGCCACTGAAGTTGTTGATTGGCGGTTGTCTTTTGTAGTGTTGACTCGCCCAATCACACGTTGGTGGGCAGAGTTAGTGTAAATAGCCTCTGCCAACAAGGCGGCCAATTTGCACTTAGAGTAAACAGACACTCCGATATAATATTGAATATAGTGTTTTCACTGCAAAACATCACTAAATGCTGCAAATATCACTGCAATTTTTGAGAAAAGCTCAAACTTTTTGGACTGCAAAAATCAGAAAGAAGCTCCATGAAATCCAGCTGGACTGATGAATCTCCATCAGTCATGACACAAACACATGATCGGTTCTCGTGAAGGGGTTCTGCTGATCCGCACTTCATGCTGCTGTTTGTGTCCTGTTATTGTGTTTGTGTGATGTGGTTTGTGAACATCTTTCACCACACAGAGCACTCAGCTGAAGTCATGTGACTCACAGTTGTTTGACTAGCAGTAGACGTGATCGTCAGCGGATGCTAATGAAAGACGTGACGGTGTTAGCGCAGCGATCGCAGCTCGGTGTGGCTGCAGCTTCACTCTCCGTGTGTCTCTTTCTCAGCAAAGTCTGGACCCCATAGACGAGGTGGCGGCTCTGATCGCGGCTGCCGTGCATGATGTCGATCATCCTGGACGGACAAACTCCTTCCTGTGTAACGCAGGAAGTGAACTGGCCATTCTGTACAACGACACAGCCGTGCTGGAGAGTCACCACGCCGCGCTGGCCTTCCAGATCACCACACGAGACGACAAGTGCAACATCTTCAAGAACATGGAGAGGTACGCGCTAAACTGAGCCTCTCTGTTTCACACGCTGTGATGAAGCGTTAGATGCGCTCCTGATGCAGATGAGGTGAACTGTGTGCAGCTGGACTGATTTTCCTCTCGTTTTAGCGCAGTGGTTGGTTGACAGGTGAGCAGGTTCAGGGTGTGTGTGTTTGCAGTATGATGAGATCTCATTAGTGTGGTCTCAGTGATCGGATCTCAGAGCATTTCAGATCCTGTTTACATCCGTATCGATCAGATCACTAGGGGTGGGAGAAAAAATCGATTCGCCTAACTATCGCGATTCTTTTTAAAACGATTGGTTTATCTCAGAATCTATTTATATTTAATTATTTTACTTTTCCTAAGAGGTGGAAAACATAGCTAAACATGACTAAAACTGTATGCAAAGTAACATAGTACTTTATTTTATTTCAGAAAGTATTTTTTTCTTACTCATTTTGTTGAACTTTTGACTATTATATTCATGTGCAAGTTCAGGGTTTTGGTACTTGAAAGGTATTTTAAAATATGCACTGCGTGTGTGTATGCTCCTGTAATAAACGTTCAGAAAGATGTGAAGCATTTTTTTGTTAATAGGACTCATTTACAGTCTCTTTAAGGGTATAATCAAGTATTTTCCATTGTCTTTAATAAGCGAACAAAATCACAATAAATTGTAATATTGAATTGCAATAGTCAATTATCGCAATATATATTGAATCTGCACACAATATCAGGATAGTATTGAATCAGCAGATTAGCGTATCGTCCCAGCCCTACAGATCACCTGACACACACACACACTCACTCACTCTCTCTCTCTCTCTCTCTCTCTCTCTCTCTCTCTCTCTCTCTCTCAGGAACGAGTACCGCACGCTCCGGCAGGCCGTCATAGACATGGTCCTCGCCACTGAGATGACCAAACACTTCGAACACGTCAACAAGTTTGTCAACAGCATCAACAAACCGCTGGCTACACTGGAGGAGAACGGGGTTAGAATCTCTCTCACACTCACACACACACACACAGGTTTGTTTTTGTGAAAAGTGGGGACTCTCCATAGGCGTAATGGTTTTTATACTGTACAGACCATATATTCTATTGCTCTACACCAACCCTACCCCTAAACCTACCCCTCACAGGAGACTTTGTGCTATTTCAGATTTTCAATACACTCCATTCTGTGTGATTTATAAGCGTTTTGAAAAGTGGGGACATGGGGTAATGTCCTGAAAAGTCACCTTCTCCTTGTAATACCTATGTTATACCTTTGTCATTATACAAATTTATGTCCTCATTTGTCACACACACTCACGCACTCGCACACTCTCACGCACACTCACACTTACTCTCACGCTCACTAACACACTCTCACGCATACTCACACACACACACACACCTCAAACGCATACTCACACACACACACACACACACCTCAAACTCGCATGCACACGCACACACGCACTCTCACAGACACATACACACACACACTCACACACACACACACACACACACACACACACTCAAAAACACACACGCTCACTCACACACACGCACGCACGCACACAGGTAAACGCTCTTTAATGACCCAGAGAGTGTTGGGTTATTAATGAGGATGTCAGTATTCATTCTGTGGTGTGTGTGTGTGTGTATGTGTGTGTAGGGTAATGGTGATGAGGACTCGGTGAAGAGCATCCTGACGGCTCCAGAGAACCGGATCCTGGTGAAGAGGATGTTGATCAAATGCGCTGATATCTCAAACCCATGCAGACCGCTGGAGCTGTGTATCGAGTGGGCCGGACGCATCTCAGAGGAGTATTTCGCACAGGTGTGTGTGTCTGTGTGCGAGTGCGAGTGCGTGAGCGTGTGCGTTTGTGAGTGTATGTGTGTGAGCGTGTGTGTAGATTGTAGTTAGGGGTGCTCCGATTGATCGGCTACTGATCACTATCGGCCGATAATCGCTTTGGGATGATCGATCGGCGGTCTCTATAAAGAACGATCTCATAAACAGATCTCAAGCAGATGACGCTGCTGTGAGAGGTTTGGCATGACATGCAGCGGCACACACTGTTTGGATTTGAAATCAAACTAATGGATAAATGTAGTGTTTGTGGTAAACAGCCGCGGATCAGGAGCGACTCCTGTGTGAAAGCTGCTTCTGTAACACACATGGACTGCAAACACACTGCAAACGGAGTATGAACCTCACATACAGCTCATGAAATCAGGCTGTGTGTAAGCTATTGTGCAACAATTACACGATTGTCTAAACAAAAATGCACTGCATGATCAAACATTTAGGTGAGATAAATATATATTTTTGAAAAATGTCTAAAAATCCCCCTCACCAGAGACACCTAAGAGGGGAATTACCCACATTTCCAAAAATGAAATTCAGGCCCTGAATAAATATCTAAAAATCCTGATTGGAGTATCACTACAAATAGTTATAAAATTATAAAAAGAAGGTTTTAAAAAGGTCGGTATCGGTGATGGTATCGACAGATACTGCTTTCTGAGCACCCCTATCTAAACCGAGCAAATCCAGAAACAGTGAGGTGCTGCAGGTTAGTGTGAGAGGAACTGATCAGCGAGTATAAACACAGCCGTGTCTCTGATTCACAGACGGATGAGGAAAAGCAGCAGGGTCTGCCGGTGGTGATGCCCGTGTTTGATCGCAACACCTGCAGCATTCCCAAATCCCAGATCTCCTTCATCGACTACTTCATCACTGACATGTTTGACGCTTGGGACGGTAAGAAACAGATCACTTCAACTAGATTCTTACTGCAATCTTTTTAAATGTAATCGTCTATAATGAAGGTTGAGCTGAGGTTATGCTGCGCTCCTGTTTAATCCTCCTGTTTAAATCATTTCAGATCAAATACATGTTGAATATGTTGACAGTAATAATAATAATTGTTATTTCTAAAGTGCCTTCTCTGTATTTCTAGCGTTTGCTGATCTGCCCAATCTAATGCAGCATCTGGACAACAACTTCAAATACTGGAAGAGTTTAGATGAGAAGAAGCTGCGGAGCCTGCGGCCGCCACCGGAGTGACACACACACACACTCTCACACTCTCACACACTCACACACACACACACACACACACACACTCTCACACTCACACACACTCACACACACACACACTCTCACACACACACACACACTCACTCTCACACTCACACACTCACTCACACACTCACACTCTCTCTCACACACACACACTCACTCACACACACACACTCACACTCTCTCTCACCCACACTCTCACACACACACACACACACACACACACTCTCACACTCACACACACTCACACACTCACACACTCTCACACACACACACACACTCACTCTCACACTCACACACACTCTCACACACTCACACTCTCTCACACTCACACACACTCTCACACACTCACACTCTCTCACACTCACACACACTCTCACACACTCACACTCTCTCACACTCACACACACTCTCACACACTCACACTCTCTCACACTCACACACACTCTCACACACTCACACTCTCTCACACTCACACACACTCTCACACACTCACACTCTCTCACACTCACACACACTCTCACACACTCACACTCTCTCACACACACACACACACTCACACACTCACACACACTCACTCTCTCACACACACACGCACACACTCACTCTCTCACACACACGCACACACACTCACACACACTCACTCTCTCACACACACACACACACGTGAGAGGATGAGTGGAGCTAACGTTTGATGGACGGAGGGAAAGCGTCTCTTGTGAAGAAACACTAGCGATCGGCTCGACTGCGTCAGAAACATGTCTGTGGAGCGCTATTTATTTTGGTCCAGCTGTTCCTTGTTTTTGTTTTTTTTAATCATTAATAACTAATGATGAGAATCATGCTAGCTAATATACCCTCAGAATGAGAGATGATCTAAACGCCAAAGGTGATTAACACGAATGATGATGTTATTGTATTTAAAATCTGCAGACTCCGAAGGAAGCGTCACGTTTTTATTTTCGCGAGCATCTGTGAAGACTTGGTTTTCCTCCAGAGATGTTCTGTGTGGTCATCTACTGACCAGACTGCTGCCTTATTTTATACGCGCTCTTTATACGGCGACGGACTTCTGCGGTTTTTAACACGCTCACGTTATATGAAGTAAATCTCAATATTTTTATAGATGATCAGTTTTACACTGGACTCCTCGGGGAGGGATGATGACTCGTTCTTCATGTTGTTCAGCCGTCTGCAGACCGCCGGCTTCTCTCTCTTCATCAGGCTTCTGTTGATTGGATTCAGTCTGTGTTTCTGGGCTCAGACGGATGATTTATCCTTCAGCTGAATATACGATTTCTGATGTGATCCTCTTCCTCCGAATCACGCCACAGACGGAGCGTCTTCAGCACTGCACTCCCAAACAAAGAGAAAAATGAGATTATATTTTGTATTTAGGACCATTATGATTTTTTTGCGTCGTGACATTGTTTTCATGATGAATTACCTCTTCTTCAGATTCCTCTTTAAATTCTCATCTGTCATGTCAAAAAGAGTTATTTAAATTGTAAAGTATTTCTACATCATTGTAGTATTTGTTGTACTGCCCTTTTTGATTTAATAAAAAAAGCTATTTTTTATTGTAAAGCAGAACTATAATAATAAAACTACCGTCCAGGTGAGACTCGGGTGACAATTTGTGCTCGACTGTCAACTGATAACAATCCAGGACTGTGTTCAATGCTGATGTGTGTGAGATGCGTGTGTCGAGCGTGTTTGGTTCAGTGCTGCTGCTGCCGCTGAGGTTCAGGGCTGCTGCTGCTGCTGAGGTTCAGGGCTGCTGCTGCTGCTGCTGCTGAGGTTCAGCGCTGCTGCTGCTGCTGAGGTTCAGGGCTGCTGCTGCTGCTGCTGCTGAGGTTCAGCGCTGCTGCTGCTGCTGAGGTTCAGGGCTGCTGCTGCTGCTGCTGCTGAGGTTCAGCGCTGCTGCTGCTGCTGAGGTTCAGGGCTGCTGCTGCTGCTGCTGCTGAGGTTCAGCGCTGCTGCTGCTGCTGAGGTTCAGGGCTGCTGCTGCTGCTGCTGCTGAGGTTCAGCGCTGCTGCTGCTGCTGAGGTTCAGGGCTGCTGCTGCTGCTGCTGCTGAGGTTCAGCGCTGCTGCTGCTGCTGAGGTTCAGGGCTGCTGCTGCTGCTGCTGCTGAGGTTCAGCGCTGCTGCTGCTGCTGAGGTTCAGGGCTGCTGCTGCTGCTGCTGCTGAGGTTCAGCGCTGCTGCTGCTGCTGAGGTTCAGGGCTGCTGCTGCTGCTGCTGCTGAGGTTCAGCGCTGCTGCTGCTGCTGAGGTTCAGGGCTGCTGCTGCTGCTGCTGCTGAGGTTCAGCGCTGCTGCTGCTGCTGAGGTTCAGGGCTGCTGCTGCTGCTGCTGCTGAGGTTCAGCGCTGCTGCTGCTGCTGAGGTTCAGGGCTGCTGCTGCTGCTGCTGCTGAGGTTCAGCGCTGCTGCTGCTGCTGAGGTTCAGGGCTGCTGCTGCTGCTGCTGCTGAGGTTCAGCGCTGCTGCTGCTGCTGAGGTTCAGGGCTGCTGCTGCTGCTGCTGCTGAGGTTCAGCGCTGCTGCTGCTGCTGAGGTTCAGGGCTGCTGCTGCTGCTGCTGCTGAGGTTCAGCGCTGCTGCTGCTGCTGAGGTTCAGGGCTGCTGCTGCTGCTGCTGCTGAGGTTCAGCGCTGCTGCTGCTGCTGAGGTTCAGGGCTGCTGCTGCTGCTGCTGCTGAGGTTCAGCGCTGCTGCTGCTGCTGAGGTTCAGGGCTGCTGCTGCTGCTGCTGCTGAGGTTCAGCGCTGCTGCTGCTGCTGAGGTTCAGGGCTGCTGCTGCTGCTGCTGCTGAGGTTCAGCGCTGCTGCTGCTGCTGAGGTTCAGGGCTGCTGCTGCTGCTGCTGCTGAGGTTCAGCGCTGCTGCTGCTGCTGAGGTTCAGGGCTGCTGCTGCTGCTGCTGCTGAGGTTCAGCGCTGCTGCTGCTGCTGAGGTTCAGGGCTGCTGCTGCTGCTGCTGCTGAGGTTCAGCGCTGCTGCTGCTGCTGAGGTTCAGGGCTGCTGCTGCTGCTGCTGCTGAGGTTCAGCGCTGCTGCTGCTGCTGAGGTTCAGGGCTGCTGCTGCTGCTGCTGCTGAGGTTCAGCGCTGCTGCTGCTGCTGAGGTTCAGGGCTGCTGCTGCTGCTGCTGCTGAGGTTCAGCGCTGCTGCTGCTGCTGAGGTTCAGGGCTGCTGCTGCTGCTGCTGCTGAGGTTCAGGACTGCTGCTGCCGCTGAGGTTCAGTGCTGCTGCTGCCGCTGAGGTTCAGGACTGCTGCTGCCGCTGAGGTTCAGGACTGCTGCTGCTGCTGAGGTTCAGGACTGCTGCTGCTGCTGAGGTTCAGGACTGCTGCTGCTGCTGAGGCTCAACAGGGCCCAAGTAATAGATGGAAAAATAGATATTCTTTGTTTAGTCCAGTTACATACTTCAGTCCAAAATGAATTAAGCAGATAACAATGGGAACATACGTGTTCAACAGAATAACAGAATTGAGAAATATTACAATCCACATTAAATCTTAATCTCAGAAATGCCTTCGCAGGATAAATATCGTCTTAATCTCAGAAATGCCTTCGCAGGATAAATATCGTACACAATGTTAAAGTGCACTTCTTTATATTCTGGTGGAAGAGGAAAGGACAAATACTAAATTCATTAACTGATTTCCTATTTAGATGTTGAAAAATATAGCTCCTTCTTATTGGACCAGGATAGCTTTCCTGCACAAGACAGTTTCTTCTAAACTTATTAGTACTCTTCTCATCTTCTACATCTATTTTGCCTAATTTAAGATCCAAAATCTTGGGAATGATAGAGGAGTATGTTAAAATCCCCTTTAACATATTAAGGAATGGTAAAGGAATACTTTTCAAATAAACGTTTTCCTCACTTAAAATAAAATTTAGTGCAGAAATCATAATTAAAAAAGCAGCCATTATTTTCCATAATGTGCAGCACCGACCAAATAGCTCTGCCACCAGTCCTCCAAAATAATAAAATACACGAGTATTCCATAAGGACACATTATGAGGACTGAAGTTATGTTTAAACAGCATTTCCCAATACAAGAGGACTTCATGAGAATCCGACAGTTTTAGATATCTCAAAGTCACATTGTAACAAAAACTTTATACCTCCAAATGTTTTAAACAAACTGGATGGCATTGCAAACCAGTATGAATGCTCCTTTCTAATAAAAGACAGGCGCCAGCAGCAGTCTGTGATCGATTGCTTCTGTCTCAGCATCTGCTGTGTTCCGACGAGCAGCAGAAATGCTTCTATCCTACACAATTATTCACTAATATAGTCTAATTTTCCACTTTGAAGCTTATTTTATTAACCGAATTTCTTGATAAATAAATAAAATGAATGGTTAAAAATGCACTTTAGAATCGTTATTTTGATGTGAGGCTCAAGAGGTGAAGCCAGCCGGATTCAGCTGCGCGTCTGTCTGTGGCGTTCGGTAATATACATGTTTATTTATAACCGTGCTGGAAATAAGTCAATAGTGTTAGCTGATGCTAGCTGTGCTTTACACCACAGACGAGGCTGGAGAAGAAAATAGAATTATATTTCCCTTATTATATGCATTATTTCCGTATTGGCTATTTTGGGAGAATCCCAGGTATTTTGAGCTGTAGGATTATAAAAAATATGTGCTAATATAAAATTAAATGATAAAAGTGGCGTATATAAAACTGCTAAATAATCATTCGTCTATCGGTACTTTTTTCTTAAGTACATGAAAAATCAAGTATTGAAGCCAGCCGGATTCAGCTGCGCGTCTGTCTGTGGCGTTACGGTAATATACATGTTTATTTATAACCGTGCTGGAAATAAGTCAATAGTGTTAGCTGATGCTAGCTGTGCTTTACACCACAGACGAGGCTGAAGAAGAAAATAGAATTATATTTCCCTTATTATATGCATTATTTCCGTATTGGCTATTTTGGGAGAATCCCAGGTATTTTGAGCTGTAGGATTATAAAAAATATGTGCTAATATAAAATTAAATGATAAAAGTGGCGTATATAAAACTGCTAAATAATCATTCGTC